ACACAGAAAGCTTGGAAATATTGAGAAGTAAGTTGAAAATATAATACAATATATTTTTGGGTTACTATCATCGAAGAAAATTGGTAAAAAAATTTTATTTTCCAAAAATCGAATATCAGCGTATCATGAAAACACTGGGTACTATAGATATTTGAAATAGAAATCGAGTTGTTGAAATTCAGCCAATAAATTGAAAAACATCGGAGACAAAACGAATATGTAAAATACCACCAAAATTATTTATAATATTTGGAAAAACAGAGAAGAATGCGAAAATGTAATAACAAATATATTGTAACATTAAATTGACGGGTATTTTATGCTTTCTATAAATATAAAATGAAAGGTCTTATTATTTACTACAAAATTCTAGATGGCCTAATCTGCTGTTTTTAGAGTATCCGGCTCGAAAAGGACCATATGATTGATCCAAGGGTTTCAACCCTCAAACCCAACTGCGATTTGACCGATTAATATTAGAAAAGGAAAAGTGGGTTCAGAATTGTTCACCTTACCTTTCTTTTGGGCGGATCCCTGGGCGACGACGAATTTCTAATCCAGGACTTTTCTACGGTCGAGTAGGTAATGTACACAACACAATTTTAATAATATTTTATTGGTTTTCGATTGACTGAGGGTTTTGGAGAATTTTGGAATATCGAAGATATGTTGACCCGTCGTTCAACGTTTTGTCTCTGTCGAATCAACGAAGATGATAAGCGTTATATAATTCCAGATTCACACAATACGCTTCCTTGGGGTCACTATTCTATCCCTCAAACATCAAACGCTATGGATATAGACGATTAGCCCATGATTACTAGTATATATGTCTTTGGCTGCAGTTCAGCTGAGAAAAGATGTATATATTATTAATGAATGTTCAACTAACTACTTTATATTATCAGTAAATTCGATGAATAAAAATTCAAAAAACTTTAATAGCAGCAAAATGTATCGATACTTGTAGAATGTAATTGTGTATATATTAATGGAATGATTAGATATCAATAAATATTTTGTAGTATATTTTTTGAATTTATGAATAATTCCTTCTTACTTCAAATAACATTCACTCACGAACAATTTTTATGTATTCGAATGGTGAAATATTGCTCTTTCACGTGGCGGCGCCGTTACGATTCATTATGATTCAAAGTAGACTGATTTTCTATTTTTACTAATATCCTGAGTGACGACTCTCTGTGCCTCACAAAAAAGTTTTTTTATTGATTCAATTTCAACTGTTTGACTAAATAAAAATTGTCAACATCTATGGACAGTTATTTCTTCAAACTGACACATAATGAGATGGAGATGTGCTGATTTGTACACAAATTTTCGTGAACGTTACATTACAAATCACATGGGTTTTTGGAAGGATATGAATTTTTTGAATATGAATGTTCTAGATTTTTATTCATAGGGTCATCTCTTGTATATAAAACTCCTGTACTAGATATGAATGATTTTAGGAATCAGATAAATGACCATTGTAATGTAATAAGGAATACTCCGGGTATTTTTGAACGTGTCAGATAAAAAATGACAGATCGATCGCAGTCGTGTATTTTATCGGACATTTCGCTCATTCACTTTAGGCTCGAAATAGTTCATTATTTACTTTTGGTCTTCACCCCACCATCAACTACAAACAAATTCACGCCTTGGTTTGATTATGATTCGAACTGCTGCCTTTGAATTTCACTTATAGTTGTTCGTAACCTAATAACATTGAATTTCAAATTTGTTCAATGATTTTCTCTGCAATTCTTCCTATGCTGTTCCACATTAGGCGCTTGATATTATATTTTCCATAATCAACAAATGAAATCATTTGAAATTAGTACCAACATCGACCTGTTGCAGCTAATATAACGGAAATAAGAAATGAGGTCCTTTAGGCTTCGAAAAATTATTAATTAGGTTCTTTGACATCTAAACGAATCTATTGATGTTAAAATCATTGAAATCTAACGACCGGAAGTGAAAACCGAAAATGACCTTTTTTGACGGATTCCAAACATTCCCACCATGAGGAATCCAAATATATCAAATGTTTTAGTGAACGAATGTGTTTAATTTTGCATGAAACGTAAAGATATGTAAAAGGTGGATAATCAAATTTTCACTTTTTTTCCCAAGATCTCTACGACTTCACATATGCTTCTCATACGTATTTCAAAATTATTTCATCATACCTTGTGCCTATTTGACATGTCGCCATGTCGTTCCTTTATTAATTTCAACATCGATACCCCTTTCATGTGCATTACATAGTAATGTGGCTGCGAAGACGTGAACTAGTGCCCTCTTGGCATCGTCTTCGTTTTTTTCCTCTGTCGATGAATTCTATACCCCTTCTCTTTTCATTTGATGTGCTGCATGTTGAGATTCAACAATCATCAACGAAGATGTGGCTTAATGCCCTTCTGACATGTTACGTCATCTTTGTTTTTTCTCTGTCGATGAATTCTGCATAAATTTACTTTTAATTTGACGTGTTGTGTGTGACGTTCTGATCATTTTTAGTGAATATACAACTTAGTGCCCCTCTGACATGTTGCGACCATTTTTTGTTTTTTCTTTGTCGATGAATTCTGCATTCGTTTCCTTACATTTCATATGCTGCAAGTTGAGATTCAACTATCATCAACAAAGATGTGACTTAGTGGCTTATTGATATGTTGCTCCATCTTTGGTTTTTCTTTGTCGATACATTCTGCATTTGTTTTTTTCAGTTGATGTGCTATATAAAGCTTAGTGCCCTTCTGACAGTTGTGCCATTTTTTTTCTAATAACTCATCTCCACAAACCATAACACATTTTCTACCACGCCACCAACTTCCACGCTGACTACGTCACTTTCGAAGTTTTAATGTTTTATCACTATCATTATTATTATTCGATTCACATTCTCCAGTTCAATTTCATCTAACACAATCAATCGTCCGATATTTGATTCCTCCATTCTGATTGGCTTACCGTCGCCAATCTGTATAGAGACGTTAGCCTGAGTGTTCCACAAGGTTCCGTTCAGGAGCCTGAAAATTCGCAAAATGAATCTTCATATGACAAAGCGTGGACTTTACTCATTTCCTGATGATGCTTACTTGGTTAGCGGAATGCATTAAATGATAAATGACTGTCATATTGAAACACGAAAAACGGTTACGACAATAACAATGAAACGATAACGAATAAACGCACGCAAACGATCGAAAACGCACGAAAACGGTCGAAAACGCACGCGAAACGGTCGAAAACGCACGCAAACGATTGAAAACGTACGGAAAACGGTCGAAAACGTACTAAAAACGGTCGCACGCAAAACGGTCGAAACGCTTGTAAAACGGTCGAATACTTCGCTTTCCCCATTTTCGAATGTTGACTCCACAATACATAACTCCTCGACAACTTTTGTGCCATCTCCTCCTTCTCCTGATGATGCTAACTTGGTTAACAAAGAAACGAGACTTAGCGTCCTTCTGACATGTTGAAACGCTAGACTTCTGTTAAACCGACATGTTTCTTTCTTAAATGATGAACTTTGAAACGCCCTGTATACACACTGATATCATATTTTTACCCGATGTTTTTTTCTTAAATGATATATTTGACACACCCTGTACACTTCGACGCATGTTTGTTTTCAATGATGTATTTTGAGGCACCCCGTACACATTGAGGGATCGCAGGTTGAACTGTTGTGTTATCATACTTTTTCTTAAATCTGATTCATTATTATTAATATATCACCTTCGCGCTTCCAATTTTCATCGAGTCGTTCACGCTTAATTTTGAAACCGGCAACGCTAATTTTCCCATAAACAACGATTTATTTTACAATCTTCCACAAGGAAATGACGATTACAATTTCCCTAACATTCTACGAAAATAAAAAAAGCGGTCAGGTATATAAAATGAGTCAATTTCGGTCCCGACAAAATTAACGCTATAAATACCCATCATTCGCAGTTACTTCCAATGTCTTACGTTGGTGTCGAGGCTAAGGACAATTTCTACCACGCGGACGAACCGGGTTCGATTCTCATAACTATAAATTTTTTTAATTATGATCACGTGATAAGGCGGGCCCGAGGGGTGATGCGGAGTCTCAAGAGGGCCTGAGCGGTGAAGTGGAGTACTAAGAGGGCCGAGGGGCGGAGTTCCAGGCTTGAATCTCTACGATACTCATTCCATCCTGCGTCGATGACGTCAAACGTTTCCCCCACTCCTGTTTGAACCAAAAATTGCAGAAAGTTAAGCTCCATAAGAATATACATGGGATTTTGAGCTCGTATCCGCTTTGTTTATCTACTAATATCCAACCTTCATAGACTATGTGCTAGGCTATCCGGTTCGGAGACATTTATCTTCTTGAAGAAAACCGACGCCTGGAATTTTTTGGCACTGAATTGAACGTGGTTACTTTCACCCGAATTCGAAATCACTTATCTTCATTAAGATATGCAACCTCCTGCTGCCGGTGAAGATGTGCCTCCGTAGCCGATGTCCGGAAATCCAATTGGAATTATGAGCCAAGTGTGCTGTCATCTGCAAAGCAATATATTGGATTCTCGGTTTTTTCCAATAAGTCGTTGATATACACTAAAAAAGGGTTGAAGACAATATGGATCCCTGAAGAACACCAGAGTTGAGGTGAAAGTATTCGAGAGATATCCATCGACGGCCACTTGTAGGAAACGTTCTTTCAGGAAGCTAAAGAGCCTTACACAGAAATGATCCGACAAGAAATAGCATCAAAGTTTGGCCAGCAAACCCTTATGCCACACAAAGGCCTTAGAAATATCAAGCGCAACAGCTCTTGATTCTCCATGTTTCTCGATTGCGTTATTCCAAATGTGGGTGACACATGATAGCAGGTCTCCTATTGATCTTTGTTTCCGAAAGCCATATTGATGAGAGCTCAAGATGTTGAAACCTTTCAAATATTTGAGAATATGGTGTCCGTAAGTCCGTAAGAAATTTCAACTTACTTTACACTGGTAGTCCACTTTGAACAACTTGCATAGAGAAAAGTTGGGAATAGGCACATTCATCGGAAGCATAAGAGGAAAGTTATAAGTATGTTCCCCATGAGCTCCCAAACCGACTTCGGTGATCTCTACAAGAATATTCTCAATTTCGTTTTCATCTTTGGATGGTATATCAACTTGACATGTGATGACCTGAAATTAAATAGAAAAGGACTATTTGAACAAAAAAGTAAGTTTCGTGAGTTATATATTGCTAATTCATTGGATTCCTAAATAGGTTTCGGATTACTCAGTATTCACCTCAGTTGTGTAACATACTTTTATCAGCATATTTTTATAGTGGAGTACCGTACATTTTTGAAAATTCATGATAATCCCTAATGATTCCGTTCGATATAATGTAACGTATAATTGAAGTTTCAATGGGTAGCCCTATATGTTATCAGTATATGCTGTCTAATCAGAAAATGAAGTGAATTTTCATTTTTCTCATTGAGTATTTATTTGTTCATCAATTTATATTTTGTTTCCTTCGAAGTAGCCCCCATCAGATGGAATATACTTGTGCTAGCTTTTTTCCAATCCTCCAAGCTGTTCTGATATGCACTTTTTGGTATGTTCTTGAGCTCTCTCAGCGATTCGGTATTTATCTTCTCAATTGTCGCAGGGGGCCAAATCTGACACATGATTACGGTATTGTTTTTGGCCAAAAAATTACGAACAAGCAACGACGAGTGAGCAGGCGCATTATCGTGATGCAAAAACCATTATTTTTTCTTACAATACCGGACATTTTCTTCGTATTGTTTCTCGCAAACAGCGCATAAGTTCAAGATGATACTACTTACTGGCTGAGGATCATGTGGCAAGAACTCCTTATGCACTACGTCATGGTAATTGAAGAAAACAATGAGCAAAACCATGACATTTCATTGAACTGTTGGTCAAAGTCACCAGATTGGAACGAACTTCGCTGCCACATGCCCAAAATCTTGGACATCCTCAGCAACTTGGCTAAGTTATTCGACGATTCTCCATAAAAATGAAGAATTCTCAACATTTTCATGGGTTGTTAATGTGGTGGGGCGTCCAGGACGAGAGTCGTCATTCACATCTTTTCGACGTTATGTGAAAAGCTTGTACAACTTGTGCAGTTACACAAAATATGATGCAAATTCTTTGATCCATTTTTTTCGATAGAAGAAAATCGCCGAACACGCAAAACACCTTCAACTTTTATGCCTTTCACCAACAGACTAAACATGCTAATACTATAAACATTACCGGGAATTGTTTTTGGGAAGTGCTGGAAAATTCCGAAGTATTCATCATAGAACCATGTTTGTAACAATGCAACTTTCTCTAAGGTTGGTTAATATCTCTCCAAAACATAACTAAGAGTATTAACAGTCTCCGTACTGGATAGACTGTCTCTACTTAGAGAATGATGGTTTATTCTTCAAGTCATATTGGACTCTGTATATGAAATCAGTGGCCATCCTGACAACATGTAATATTTCTCAGTTGTGGAATTGATAAATACAGATGGCAGATTTCAATAATTTTTACTCACCAATAATTCATCATGTTTGGTAAGTTCAAGATATTTCGATATTTGTGGTATTTTCGAAGTGGCATTCAACTTAACCAAAATGATAAGTGACCCAATAGGATAATTTTCCAAATTTTAGCTAGACTAGTTCTAATTGCATAGTGTTCACCATCTTATTTCCTATGGAGTATTTGAATTAAGAAAATAAATATTTCAAAATAAAAATTCAAATATTCACGTCTCCCAACATTCTTACACAGTTGGATCCCACCCATGCCTACCGGAAAACAAATAGTTCCACGATGAACAGTATTTTCGACATACACTTGTGAACATTTTAGTGAAAATTGAATCTTCATTCTTGTGAGGTTGATCTATTGATGACCTAGTTTGATCCATGGATCAGCCTATCAGTTGATTTTTCTGGATATTCATGAGAGAAACCTTCACGGACTCGAGGATTTAATTTTTGTCAAAAGATTTATATGGCAAAACTTTTCAAAACGCCGTTATAACAGAGTTATCAATGTCTCATTATCACGATACAATTATTCTATGGCTATGATTTGAATTTGATTCGAATCTTGTTGTATTGCATGGTGTTTAGCAACTCTGTACTTTTGTTTGTATATTTCGTTAATTGTTTTCAATTTGCTTTTTTGAACCACGTATTTTGTATTTATTGAATATTCTGAATTTCTGAGTTCTCAAGCAGAGTGAGGATTTGGTTAATTTCAAATAATTTCCTGATATTCACTTGAACCTTAGGAATCACTGACATTTCTATAGAAAATAACAACTTGATGATTAGGTGAAAACATTTTCTCTATCGCCAGATACCAGTTTTAAGGAATATGAAAAAAACCACATATTTTAAAAATTTCTTTCATTTATATTTGAAATGCCTGTCGTTGTTAATGAATAATACGCTAATTTTCTCCAGATATAACAGTTGTTTTTTAAAATTTTTCTCTGATTTTTCGAAATGTAATTTGAATGTGATTTAGTTAATGACCTACTTGTTTCAGTTTTAGTTGTATATTCTCAATGTTGGTACTAGATAAATTGCTCAATCTTGCCATGACATTCACTGTTTCTCCTGGTATCAATGTTCTCTTTGGCAACTCTATATCAAGGGCAATCGGGCCGTCAGCACAACAAAAACAACATATTGTTTTGTCCTCAGAATAAGAAGTAGGCTCCTGAAAATGATTAAAATGTCGAGTTATTAAAATCAGTTGATCGAGTATCAGTTGAATATAAATTGCCACATAAAATAAACATATGTTCATAGTATTTGTCAATATAATGAATACTATGTATTTCCAAACTTGATTGTAATTATGTTTTGCACTACTGTTAACCTTCATTTGCTAGAGTAAATGACGTCAAGTGTCATCGTTTCGCCGATATGAAAAGATTCCATCTTCACTACTACAAATATGTTATGTGATAGAACTGGCCGATACTTCATTAAAATTCAAATAACATATTTGAGTAACACTTTATTGTGAGTTCATACTGGAATATGAAAACTCCTGAAGAAACTATTGTGTGATGATGATACACGTGTTGCTATTTTTGATTTGTTTAGTGCAAATTACACAATGAAATGTTACTTATTGGTCCTTTAAATTTCTTTTTCCTAAGATATCTCAGTGGTTGATGCTCAACTGCTTTCGGCTAATTAATGACTGGACAGTATCTGCGTAACTTTAGGTTCATACACCAATAGTTGATTCAAGTCATATCAATAAATGTGGATTCAAATCACAATTTCGTTTTAGCCACTCAATTTTAAAAGTATTTGAAAAACAAAACTATAAGTACTACAACCAAAATAGGAAATATTTTGAATACTTTTTCAGGTTGATTTTTGTTGTGGCATCGAGATATCCTCAACAAATTAATATTTTGATATATTCTTTGAAAACGTATAGTATTCTTCTCGCGTCATAACTCGCTCAAGAGGAAGATCAGTCTGATCTTCCTCTTGAGAAATTGAGCTTCCTGTTGAGAGAAAGATCAGTAATATTCATTACTACACCAAAGGTTCCAAACACTGCATCACAAGTTTAAAAATATAGTTTTTAACGATTGTATACCACCAGAAATTTGTAATGTGACGAAGAAATTAATACTTTTAACTTTATAATCAACCGGGAGTAGTTAGACACTTGAATGGATTTATGTCATACTATTTCGTAAATTAGCTTTGTGAAGTAACTTAGAGAATTATGGGCTACTATTTTGTAAGTTAGTTTTGTGGAGTAGCTGAGAGAACTATGGGTTTGAGTGTCAGTAAATGTGTGTTCAAGTCACATCTAGATCGGTTTTTTATTTTTTTTACCACTCAATAGTTAAATAATTTGAAATTGAATGAAATATCAAAAATCGAAAATATTTCTGAATGCTTAATTTTTTGTGGTTTTGAGGCGGCAACTACGAGGTCATTGACCTTCTACTAATAGTTTGTTCTTTAGTATTTATTTTCTTATTTACTTTTTTGCTTTATTAGATTGCGTTTTGTTACAAAATTGAAATGGGAATACCCTTCACAATTGAATTTCATTTCAAAATATTCCTGTTGTAGGTAAGTCATAGAAATAGTATAGTATTCTACTATCGAGAAATCAACATTACTCGCTGGAATTATTTACTTGATCCTCACGAGTAATGGCCACATTTCTCGCTCGTTTAATGATATATTATCAATTCATATCGATTACACACCTACTTACTGGTTCAATTATTCAGGTTGAAAATGTCAATTTGATAAACACTTATCCTAAGATATTTCACAGATTTGCCTCCAGATGTTTTGCAGGTCAGCCCGAAATCAATTTCTACGAGGCTGGTTATTCTAGATGAGAATGAGTAGAATGGCTAATAACCTGTTTAATTGATATCAGGGACAAATTATTTTCAGAGATATTTCAAATTGACATTTCAGCTGAAGATTGTTAAATACAATCGATATATAATCAATAACTGCAAGTACACCTTCACAGACCAGTGTTTGATGAATGTATTTTGGTATTGAGTTTTATCAGTATTTCCAAATGTCTTCCCAAATTCTGGAAAAAGTCATTGTTTTTACTAATTTGTATTCGTTAATGTTTGTTATGAAAAAAAGTTGAAATTGCTATAAAATTTTCAGTGTGCGCCTTCGTTTGCGAATGGTTTAACATAATTTACTTTAACTCCTATCGAGTACCTACCTACCTGCTGGTTGAAATGTCATTTCGGTATATCTCTGAAAACACTATCAACATTTGAAAAATTAACAAAGACTGGCGCTTGTGGAGGGAACATTTTCACCTGTTTCATTGTAGATAAAGTTGCATATGATTATGCTCTTTTTTATAAAAAATCTTCACACCCCCTTCTTCTCCCCACCCCTTATTATGAAACATTATCATTGAAATGTTCATCTACTTGAATACTTTCATCCTCATCTCTCTGATAGACACCTAAAATTATAGGTGTGAATTAAAAAGATGCCAGCAATTGAAAATCCAGTTTGAGTGTTTGTAACTAGTACTCTTTTCTACCTTCCAGATCTTCCATTACACTTCCACTACACAAATTATGCAATTGAGGATCCACGGTAAATGACTACACGAATAAAACTTCGGGTAGATTAAGATTCGAATACTGTGATAAGTGATTGTAGGGAGTTGTATAATTTCCAACGACAAAAAAACTACACTTTGGTTATATTTCGGTGTGAAAATAGGACAACAAAATAAGTCGAGCTCTAGTTTTCTATTTCAACTTTATTCAAACAAACTTGATTTAGTTTTATCAAAGAACAGTATGAAAAACGATACAGCTCACTTGTGATGGTTATTGTGTTTTTCACCCTGGGTACAGCTTCGTAGGAGAATGTTGCCTTGTCGAGAGTGATAGCGCAGAAGGGTAGGCCTATGCGTTGAAATAAATCATCTAAAATATTCGCTACGTAATCACTTCGACTGAATGTCCATATTGGGGAGTGTTTGCGCTCCTGGACGAACTTATTTTCCAACTAATGGTCCATGCTTGTGTGATGAATACTACCCGGGCTATCTTCAACTAGATTTTCGACCCTTATCTTCAATGGTAAGGATAACCAAGCTGAACTGAACCGTTACGAAAGGTGAAGTGACGTAAAGAAGGATAGTTGATAAGCCCACATAACGTAAAATAACAATTAGGAAAAAGGCCCTAAAAAGAACATATACATGAAAAGTTTGACCGGATTCACCTAAATTTGAATGTAATACATGACAAGGCTGATAAAACCTACCTCGATAATGGGTGGCCTTGAGTAGTAATTATTCAATGTGAATTTAGCCAACTTGTGTAATTCGGGAACAAATCTTCTTGAAATAGTCAGAGGACCTTCCTTTGTCTAACTTTTCTACAATAATTACAAGAGTTTCAAAGAAAAATCTGCAGACAAGCGATACACGTCTTTTATAATCCTTTTTTCATATTTAACAAAAAAACCCGCTTGTTTTCAATTTTTTTCATTAGTGTCGTTCTTTATATTTTAGGTTGGGAACCCTGATATTTATAATGAAGTGACCTGGTAGTTCTAATAAACATTCAGATGACAAGCAGAATTGTTATGTTATTTTTCTATGGATTCCCAAAATGATGAAAACAATAAGTAAACGGTCATTATTTTGGCTATCTACTCAGAAGCAGATCAACATATCTGACGATGAACACAACCCGTACTATCGTCCTCGCTGGATTCGTCTTTGGTAAGTATTGAACGAAAAATAGTTATAACATTCGTAGTTGATAGATCTTTTTGTTTTAGGCATGTGAATATCAGCTTATTCCTGCTCTGAACATACATATTTTGTAAAAAGTAGAAGTTGAAAAATAAAGTTCAGTGAGTAGAAATAAAAAACTGTATCTTTTTTCTTATTGTTACTTCTTCAACCTCTGGAACTAACATAACCCGTAACATCGTTTATTACAAAGAAGCAAATATCACCTATTGACCTATTGACCTATAGTCAATCATTTTAATAATTCCAAAGTAAGGTGAGAAAATTGCGGCAAATGGTTATGATTTGAGTTGACCCATACGGCATTTCTTTTTATTAGTCCCTCAAATTCTACCCATGCTTGAACTACATTCACTTCTTGTGCTTGGATGATCATATGTTCAGCTGGTTCAGCAGTTCTACATCTGGATGGTTTACCTGTATGGGATATCTATATAGCATAAATTGTGTTAGCTTCGCGTTAGTTACTAGTTTAACTTCCTGTTTGAAGATGATCACTTGGTGATCGAAACACGTGTCGAGGTGTTAAAAATAACAATTTGGTTTGGGAAAAAACTCCAGTAATATTCATTACTACACCAAAGGTTCCAAATAGTACATCATAAGTATATGTTCAGCCATTTGTTCATTGACATCTTGCATCGAAATAGGCCCATGATACCTGTAAGATATGTTTCACGTAACAAATGAATGGCCACCACCCTAAGCAGCATCTATGATTATGGTTACACAGTACAGTACATGGTTGATAATTTTGGTGTTTTTGGAATGTGTTTTTGTGTGTTTTGATGTTTCAGTTATATATTGTTACTTTTTCCCCGTGAGTTCACCAATAATTGGTGTATGATGAAACTTAACTTTATTTCACTTTGAAAACAAGAAGCACTTCAACTAAAACATTATTTTAATGTCTATCGCCCTACTAGATTACTTCGCGTACCGCACTGTTACGTCCACCACACTGGGTACTTGACTGTCCGAAAACCCTTGCAGCCAGCGTTTAAATATCACAATGGAACAGCGTAGAATTTCACCGAAGTTCTATGAACATCGGTAGCATGTTTCTTGTTTTTTTTTTCGAGCGGCAGGTAACATCGAATATTCCCACGCTCTCGGCTACCACGCTCTTGGTTACCAAGTAAGGTCCTTGCCATGGTCTCTGCAACTTGGGACACAAACATTTTCGACGTTGGGGTTGGTAGAGTCACACTGCATCGCCCTCCTTGAAGCTCACTGGCAGCGACTTTTTGTCGAATCTTAGCTTCATCCTGTCGCTGGAAAACTGTAATTTTGTCCTGGAAAATTCGTGTACAATTTCCAGTTTCTCCTTCAGCTCATTCACAAACTCTGAAAAATGTACCTCTTGAGATTCATCGACAGGACTGGCATACCGAAAGTTTCAGTTCAGTTCCTACCG